GGTGGCCATAAGAGTGGGGTGTGGCACATCGTTGCTGTGTCCCATCCGGGAATGTTACAGTGATACATCCCTTCGTCATTTGCATAACAATATTTTGGGAACACAAAATGTCTCTTCCCACCAGGTTAATCAGGCAGGCAGTGGAAACCAAAAAGGATTGGTCAAAACAGAGCGATTTCCATTTACACGGGACTCGAATAGAAAGTGGCCACTCCTCTGATTGACCCGAAAATCCGATAACTGGCACAGTATTCCTTGATGGTGGCAGTGGCGTGTTTATTGTGGAATACCTAGCACCTGAGTCCAGCATACATCTGTAATCTCTTCCGTTGATTGTCAGAGTCACCATGGGTTCTGGAAACAGGTTACCGTCAGCCGTCGGATCTGGGCACCCCTATGGCATTTGCTGATGACCTGGGGCCTGATGCCGCAGGCTATTACCCTGTTGTAGTGTATGTGGTGCTTGTGGTGGATAGATATCATAAGGGTATTGAGCTGGGTTGGACTGAGGCCTCTGACCCTGAGGTGGATGCGGGCATGCGTCGGACCAATGTCCAAGCTGTCCCCAGCTGAAACAAGTATTCTGTCGTTGTCTAAACTGCCCTAAATTGTTTGGAACTCGGCCACGATCTCCCCCTCCCCACTGTCTTTTCGGTTGCCTGAAGCCACCGTACAGTGGGGCCCCCATCATGTCTTGTGGTTGCGGGGCATAAGGTTGGTGATAGTAAGCCTGTGGAGGAGCGTACGCGGCCTGTTGTGGCTGCTGGCAGGCTGGCGCACATGGGAATGGAGGGGGGTCTGGATAAGGGCCATATTGAGGTGGCCCTTCCCCTGAGATGGCGCTGTTGTTTGGGTCATCTGTTTGGCTTCACTCTTGCCCTGGTTCACCTTCTCTCTGCTTTCCTTCAGCTGTGTTTTTGCCAAATGTAACTGAATATTGTTTAATTCACCCTTTTCCTTATCATATCTTCTTTTCTCCGGTCCACATAGTGTTTAATCTGTGAGGACCAAGCATCAAAATTCATGTCGGACAACCCCACTTTTCCTCTTAGATGGGTCTTCATTGTCTCCGAGACAGATGAGTCTATGGCGCTGCGAAAAAGAAGCTTGGTTCTGTGATCATCCATGACATCTTCCCCTAACTTGTTGTCCCATAATTCTCTGACTCTCCTTAAATAACTATTTCCACCCTCACTGTCGTGTGGGGGAACATAAGTGAGTTCTGTGGTAGCCACCTTCACAGGATATTGGAGTCTGAGCTTTGGCCAGAGCACTGACACCCAATTTGCCAGAGGCTCCTCGTCAGAGAGGTCAGAGGTCCCTGCTTCCCCCTCTAGCTTCTGGAGGTCAGCTAGTGAGGCACACACCACAAAAATTCTTCTAAGATACCCCAAAGCGGGAACACTACCCGCACACTGAGCAAGGAACCCACAAATCCACGCTGCACCACCCTTCTCTATTTTAGGTAATGCGAGCTTCATCATGCTTAGGTCTGACAATGCGAGTGGCGCATATGTTGTTTTTTCACTTCCGTCTCTACAAATAGCCGTTAACAGTGGTAGTTGATGAGAGGCCGGAGCATCTCGTCAGATTTTTTACTTAGGTTTCAAATCATTACATTGATGCACATTCGCTCTGGCTGCATTCCCCTGATAATATCGGTTCCTATTACCTCTTAACCCCCCTGTCTCATGGCGCTCCATCAGAGTAGACGACTGTGGTTTTGTGACTCTAGCGCTGCTCCATGCTCCTGAAATTCCTCGTCCCAATCATCTGCAGGGACAGGCTCATCTTCCTCTGACTCAACCTGCCTCCCCCGTTCATCCTGTCCACGCCGGGTGATTGATTGCCGCTCTGCCTGGGCTATGACTTCTAACAAAGTTTCTTCTCCTGCAACTCTTCCTCCCCCTACATTAAATGAGGTCATAGGTCTGTGCTCGGGCTGCCGCTTCTTTACGACTGTCGAGTGACCCTGTGTTGTGTTAGGATTACTCCAATCGACAGACGCCGGCTGGGGCCTGTCCTCCAAATATTGTACCGTCTCTGAGAGAAAAGCACAAACCTTATCCACCCCATCATTCTCTTCATGTGGGTATGGAGTTACCTGTAGCAACCCTTTTTGAACTACCAAAACCTGAGATTCTCCTGGATTAGTAGCTTTCCCTTGCCTCAGTGGCATCTGATGCGGTTCATTTAACAACCGATTAGCCTCCGCATATGGGCCTGTCGAGTAGGGAGGAAGCGCACTAGATTTACAACCGGTCTCTTGCACTTCTCCTGCTTTGGTTTGCGGCAACTGCATCGCCGTCTTACTCACGAATACCTCATTTATTTCTCCCAGAAATGTTCTACAGTCCACTAAGAACTCATCTGCCTTTTCTTTTCTTTTCTTTTCCACAAAATCTCCCTTTAACGGCAAGGAGCGCATGCGCTTGGTCTTTTCCTCTTCTCGCCATCCTAAGATGGTCCTGCAGCTGCTCGCCTGTTGGTTGAGAATCTGTCTCCCTTCCAAACATTCCTCTTTCCTGCATCTGTGCAACCCACTTCACATATTTTTTTGTTACACGTTTCCTATCTTTTTCTAGGATTTTATCCATATGTCTCTTATAAGTCTTAAATAGGGCGAAACCCAGAGTGCCTTCTTTTACACCCCTCCCATATCGTTATGGTTTCCTCCATTTTCATCACAGGTTATTTATTTATTCACACGTGGTTTTTGAACACAAGAGAAAAGACTCAATGCCCAATACTGTGAACCCAATCAAGAACCTTCTACTGTATTAGAGGAATACAGCGCTCGATTGTTGAGGCTTATAAGACCAGTTCACTCGTATTGTTTTATTTCTCTCGTGTTTATACCACCATCATTTAACTATGATTTTCCCTTTTACCCTTTAATACATATCCCCACAGATGTGTAATCCGGTCAAACACTTTTCAATGTCGGATTCTCAGTCCTTTTTCAAGTCCGCCCAGCTTCCAGGTTCGATAAAACACCAGGAGTTACACCAACCACCCACACATTTCCCAGTATGAAAAACAACAAATCTTTCCCTGTGTCCTTATTTCTTCATCTAATATTCTAACCTGCCAGTCCACGAATCACACAAGTAGGACTGCAGGACCAGAGGTATCAACGTACCACACGGATTGTAACTTGGATTTCTACAGACTAAGAGTATATATATTTTTACCTAAATCCCTAAACCTATGGACACTTATTCACTTTCCCTAACGTTGAATTCAGTGTGAGTATGTGCTTATACTTTACATGTGATCAACAGAAAATTTTCAAATTTAGTTTTAAATTTAGTGGTCTTATAACGATCTTATTCAGTCAATGCACAGAGACGAATTCTGCAGTTGACAACAAATCTTTTTAGAAGTATCCAATCACAGACATTTTATTCATTTAGAACAAAAGGTTGTCTGCTCACCTGATTCTGTTGTGGGCCCTTGTTGTCAATGCTGAACCACGCCGCCGGTCCTTTCAGCTCGGTCCGGAAAACGGACGTCCCCGTCTTTCTTTGTCCAGGTCAGCCAATCACGTCGAGATGTCACAAAATTGTAAGAATACGTGTTCAAGAATTGGAGCCTGGTCGGGGTTATCAAAAATTCAGCCGAACGACTTCTCTCGTTCTGGGAAATTTATTTGTCAGATCACAGGTCAAGTATCAGCGCTGCGTTTGCAAAGGCAGGAGCAGTTCAGGCAGCACACAGGCCGGAAGAACAACTAACTAACATCAGCAAGAACATCATGTTTTATAACCCTTGAAAGACAGAGAAGGAAAGATTTCTATTGGCCCTAAACTGGCGTAGAGGAGGACCTTCCACCCCCCGCTTCTAAAGACCCGGTCACATCCAATGTCCAGACTCCTGACTTAACGTAAACATCAGCGAACAGAGTGTGTATGTTGAATAGTGTTGGTGTGTCTCTAAACCCCCCTTTGGCTGGTAAATCTGCTAGTTGACCCGCAGACCTTGCATTCCTCAGCCAGGACAGAAACTGACTCCCCATCCTGTCAGACTCGTGTCTGCCTGCTTGGCACATCCTGCTTCCCCCCTTACCTAACTCTTAAATCAAGACAAGACAGCGAACCCCCAACTAAGCCCATGAAAAGAACTTTTGATTATCAATTGCCAAGCTACATGTCAAAGCTTTTTGAAAGCTAGTTTTAAAGTCATGTACCTGTTTCCCAGGTCAAACCTGCACAGGGAGAGGGAGGGAGAGAAAGACCCACACGGCAGAAAGACATCTACCTGTGACCACAATAACGTTAGCTACAGAATATCGTTGGGTCTAACACGGAGAGAGAGAACACTTACCACCGGTTGAGAGGACCAAAGAGCAAAACGGAGCACGGTGCACGGAGCACTCTGTCGCCACTCTGCGCAGACAGACACCTGACCCGGAAATGATGCATCAGTGGGGCGCGAGAAGGGGGGCAGCCTTTATATACTACCGCTGCCCTAGTGGTCGGCAGGCGCAGTTAACTGTAGCAGGACAATCCTATTTCCATACTGCTACATACCCATTGTCTAATTTAGATACAATCAAATGCTCTAATGACTTCTAAAGGAATTCTTCACTGTAATAAAATACCGCTCCTCAGACAAACGTACTCCTTTATTTTTTAGCGTTTCAATTATACCACAATTAGAAAAGTAGATGAGCTTTTGTGCAACCTAAAGCTCCGCTGCCTCTGTTGTTCTTAGCCTAATTAAGTGATTTTTCTAAATGGAGCTCATGCAATAAGTACAGGCAGGAGCTTGAAGTCATTTTTATCCATCAGCTGATGATGAGCCGAACACTTATAAACATTACAGAGAGGTCCATTTAAACGCCGCGCTGGTGTCACCGGCCAGCTTTACCACACTGCACCACGCAGCACTATTCCTTCCAGAGGAAGATGTCGTCATAGGAGACTTAGCATGCAGTCAAGCAGTTACAACTGTGACTCATTTGATCATCATCAAATGACTCTTCACTTTTGCAGAGAACTTATATCATGCGGGACATCATAGCGACCGATAGGGGGGAACGAAACACTTCTGTGGAGCTGGCGGTCACCATCACCAACGTGAAGAACCAGCCTCCACAGTGGGAGAAGGAGAGCTACAGTGTCGTCATCCCTGAAAATGCCGCCAGAGACACACCAATAGTGGTACGTGTCTGTACATTACACCAATGTTGTCGAGCTGGATGCTTGTTTGGTTACTACACCTGTCCCCCCCCCCCCCTCCCCCACTGCCGCCCCCGGCTGAGAGTTATTCAGACACTGTTCTCATTGGGCTCAAAATGCACCTTTGAAAGCTTGTCAGGGAGCTGCAAAATCTGGAAATGTGTCTTACTTTAATGCTTTTAGAGGAGGCTGACGTCGGCTGCCACGTGCAAAGCAAGTTTCATGACTCCAGGCGTAGTAAATTAATTCAGAATGTCTCATTTGATTTGAAAAATTGATAGCTGTCAACCATAAGAGAGAAAAACACCTTTACTCTCATCTGACCCGGTTTCTTACCAGATAATGAATCATCGCAATAATTGTAATACATTTCAACAAGTCCAAAAAACAGTCTGACCTTTATGTATTGGTGTTAATTATGGAGCCATAGCTGACAGCGATCAGGCAGCATAACTGAGGTCAGTAATCATAGCTCCATTTCCTCAGCTCAGGGTTGTTTTTCTGCTGTGTTTTTTTTGCATCGGTTATTCAGACAATCAAGGCGACTTCTCAGCTGGGTGATCCGAGGGTGACGTATAACCTGGAGGACGGCATGGTCCCCGAAACCAAATTGCCGGTCCGTTTTTACCTCTCACCCAACCGCGAGGACAGCTCCGCGTCCATCCTGGTGTCCGAGCCGCTGGACTACGAGACCACACCCGTCTTCTCTCTCCGGGTTCGAGCGCAGAACGTGGCTGCGGTGCCGCTCGCAGCGTTCACCACAGTTTATGTTAATGTTACAGGTCAGTTTTCTATGTTCGTTTAGCATTTGATTTAGTGTAGTGAGGGATAACTAGCTGCTGGTTTATTAAATTAATTGTAAAAATGTCATCCTGTGACATTATCATAAGGTTGAAGAGGTAATGATACAAATACTAACAAGATGATTCTAAACAAGACCAATATATATATATATATATATATATATATCAATTCTTTTTCACAATATGCTGTATGTCAGACAAAACACTGCGGTGTGACATCAATAGCTAAAAAATCCATTCAATATATTTTAGCTATTAAATATAATGTTGAATTCATTTGAAGTTGTCCAACATCCAAAATGTTCAAGTCAGCAGCTTAAAAAACGTTGATGCATTTGTGTTATTTTATTCAGAAAACCAAACCTTTTAAATGATGAATGTGTTCCTTTACATGGGCTACAGCTTGGAATGCAAGATAACGTATAACGTATTAATTACAATAAGAAACAAATGTCTCTTCTCCCTTCAGATGTCAATGACAATGTGCCATTTTTCACATCCTCGATCTACGAGGCCTCAGTAACCGAAGGAGCCCAGATCGGGACTTTGGTTCTCCAGGTGTCGGCCAATGACAAAGACCTCGGCCTTAATGGAGAGGTTGGTGGTTGTCTATTTTTTGTCTTAATGTTGGGCGGGTGTATAAAACCATGAAAGAGATTTTCAACCACCCCTAGACAACTTTTCTTTGCAAAAACATCTATGTTATGCTGAGTATTGTGGAACATCACACACGAAACACATTAAACTCTGCGGAAACTTTTATTTCAGAGTTGTCACAGTGCACTCACAGGTAAGTGAGTGACCTGTTAGACAATGTAGGTGCGATACAGAGTATCGATTTTATTTTTTTGTAACGAGAAGACAGTGTCTGGGAATATAATAGAGGCGTCCTGACATTTACAGCTACAACACATTTAAATGGTGCTATTTCTGAAGGTTATTGCTTGAAATAGTGCTGTGGCTTAACTGAGAAATTCCCTGCGCTCGGCAGATAACTTACTCTCTGCTGAGTGACAGCAGCGGCGACCACCATCTGTTCCGCGTGGACCCAAAACTTGGCCTAATCTACACGGAAGCTGTGTTTGATCGGGAGGCCTGGAGCTCCTATTTGCTGGAGGTTCAGTCCGTAGACGGCCAGGAATCGGCGCGACCGGGCAAGAACAAACAGCCCAACTCAGGTTAGAAACTATGAGCAGCTTAGTGATGATCAGGCTTGTTCATCCAGCGTACAACTGCTTTGTGTCATTAAAAGAACAGGTGGACATTTTGGGAGGTGCACTCACTGGGAGAAAATTTATACATCTGTGCTGTTAGCTTAGCTTAGCACAACGGTTAGCCTGGGTCCGTTCAAAAGGAACCTTGGTTTGGTCCGTTCAGCTATCTTAGATTAGAACTAGCTGGATGTGGCTTCAAATGTACCTTACCGACATGAGAGTGCAAACAATCTTGTCATTTATCTCTTGGCAAGAAGCTAGAATTACAAAAAATGTTGTTTTGGAATCCGTCATTTTGCAAAATGACGGATTGCAAAATGACAGATTGCAAAAAGACGATTCGAAGCCCATTTTAGGGGGATTTGTGAGCCAATAATAAGGCAACGGCAGAACTTTAATGTATCTTTTTGTATCATATAAATTGTTGTTTTTCATGATATTTACATTCAAGAAATATGATTTCATGGAGCTAGCTTTGCCTGGTGCAATGTTCCTTTCATAAAAATCAGTTTTTTTCCCCCTAAAAGACAATATGGCGACACAGAAATTTAATTCTCAGCATTACGTTCCCTGTGAACTGCATTTTAAACAGACCAGACTGACATAATTTATTCATCTGTACCTTGGGATTGACATTAAAACATCTTATTTAATTTAGTCCGACCCTCCATCTTCCTTCTGAAAATAGCTACAACCCATTTTTTTAATCCCGTGTTTTAATTTTCAACATTCAAAATGTGTGTGTTTGTTTACCATGATTCTCTGTGACATTTGTATCCAAAAGTGGATATTTTACAAATATTTGCAAAGGAGGTATTAGGGGGCAAAGCGCGATGTCCCGAAATGGTAAATCCTTCTCTTGATGGTTGCGAGGGTTGCTTAGCATCTACAATGAGCCTTAGCGGTGTCTCGGGCAATGATTCTCTCACCTGCAGCAGGGCTCATCTACTCTGCAAACATTACCTGTCACCCTGAGTCACCTCCGGGATTCCACCCGAGACACGAGACGTAAAAACAAGCCGAGAAAACAGAGCGAGCTTCCACCACCGTCGTCTCTCACTGCATCAGCGCCAAATTAACCTGTCACCCATGTGTACTTTGAGCATATAATTTACTGCTTCTAACTAAAGGAATTAACACTGTAATGAGAAGGGCACAAACCGTTGTCAACATATTTAGAGGGGTTATATATATGAAGGCAAAAAAGCAGCTTGCTGAAGAAGTTTAGCTGCGTTATGTTACTGTTTAAAACACCCCATAAAACAAAATACTCGTAACAAAATGAATAGTTTATGTGATTTGCAGCACATTTTTACGAGTAATGTTCTCTCCGATTTCGATGTCTATGAGGCACTTTGCGTTCGGTTAAGTGCTTCTTCCCCACTAAACAGCGAAAATGAATAGAAGAATCAATAAACAGATGGAAAGAGGGAAAATACACACATAACGTGTTTGACAAAGTGTTTGTGTGCGTGTGCGTTTGTGCTATGCCATTTAATCATTCTGTCATTCTTGCAGACACAGCGTATGTGAGGATTTTCATCAGTGACGTCAATGACAACAAACCAGTCTTTGCTCAGCGCCTGTATGAAGTCGGTGTGGACGAGAATGCAGATGTGGGCCTGGCTGTTGTCACCGTTAGCGCTAATGACGAGGATGAAGGTATGCTTGATAAAGCAGCCGCCCGGGGAGGTCCAAGGGAGATCTCGTCCACGCCGCCTCCTAGAATCGAAGGTTAAAGACTCCAACCGGCAAAAAACTGTAGGAAAGTTTTGTGTGTAAAATGATTTTTTATTTTTTATTTCCCCCAGTATTCTGGCAGTCCAGCCAGTCCAGCTGTCCAGCTGGGAATTATGAGCCAAGTATGCACCCCCGTGCAAAATGGTCTGCATTTGTAACTGAAAGCATAAATGGACCCTTTGGGAAATCTTTCCCAATCCGGCCTGAGCTCTGAGGAAATTGTGCCGTGCGCTAGATTTAGCAGTAGTCATTTGAGTGCTTGGTATTGCAATGTTGCACATATGTTCCAAAAAGCGTGACACGCTCTTTGGGCGGGATTTAACCAATACAGCAGTTGCTCATCCTCCGTACGGCAGTCGCCTAAGATCCCTTTTATCGGGCATGTTTAGGGCCCAAGTATTTATGGGGATGCGGGGGCGCAGCTTAGATTGGGCTGCGGCACTAATGATGAATAGCTGTGAAATAACACCATCCCCACCCCCCCAACATTAAAGTTGCAATACTGTACTGTTCAGACGCACTTGCGTCTGAAAGGCTACGCTCAATCTGTCTTGTTTAAACAGCAACACCCTGGGCTTGACTGCTGTAAGCCTGCCAGATCCCTGTGGGAGGCAGTGAGCACTTTGTCAGCTGGGGTTGTGTTAATAGTACAGATTTGTGTATTTACATGGGATTCCAGCTACTTTAAACGGGATGATTGAAAACGAAGACTGTTCATTCAGGGAGATCATCTTATCTGTTGCCATTTTAAACTCGTAGACTGGATGGTCTCCATGAAAGCACGGTAGACAAGTTCAGATATTGACTTCCTCTTTACTTTACCTTTTTTGGAAAAAAAGGCACAATACTGAATTGCTAAGCAGCAACCTACTATAAATTATTTTGCCACACTTGCGATCTCACATTCCCGGTCGTGCGTTTCCCAATTCCTGCCACAGGAGCCAATGCCAAGCTGCGTTACCAGATTACATCTGGCAACAAAGGTGGCGTTTTTGACATAGAACCAGAGGTGGGGACGATCTTCATTGCGCAACCACTGGACTACGAGGAGCAGAAGAGATACAAGCTACTTGTCCTTGCTTCCGACGGGAAGTGGGAAGACCACGCAGCTGTGGTGGTCACCGTGGTTAACAAGAACGACGAGGCGCCCGTGTTCTCCATGAATGAGTATTATGGGTCCATCACAGAGGAGCTGGATGGGTCACCCGTGTTTGTACTACAGGTGAGAGACTGGGAGGATGACGGTTTCGCACTGCATGATTTTGTTCGTTAATAACACAGATTCTTAAAGTGTCGCTGCATGCGGCGGCTGAGTTTTTGTTTTTTTCACCACTGTATTTCGACACATTCTGAAATTGTCATTTCACCAAGTGGTGAGGAGGAAATTCCACAGTAACGCTGTCCGACCCACTCAAAGGCCTTTCCTAAGATACAAGACACGATCAAAGCTGATTGCTTTAACTCAGCAAAAAGAACATACACTTAAATTGGCTATTTAGAAAATCCAAGAAGGCCTGGGTGATGACTGAAAAGAGATAAGAGGAAGCAGTAATTTGTGTTTGACCGGACGAATGAGTATCCGCTTCCTTAAGACGTGGTCTCCGTCTCCGCAGGTGACGGCCACCGACCCGGACAAGGACGCAGACCAGGGCGCCATACGGTATTCCATTCACGGCCAGGGGGCCGAGTCGCACTTCGTGATCAACGACATCACAGGCGAGATGTACGCCCAGCGCACCATGGACCGAGAGGAGCGCGCCGCCTGGCGCTTTGTTGTCATGGCGACGGACGAAGAGGGCGAAGGGCTCACTGGCTTTACGGACGTCATTATTAACGTGTGGGACATCAATGACAACGCCCCCGCCTTCACTTGTGCGCCCGATAATTGCCACAGCAGCGTTGCGGAGAACTCTCCTCCGGGAACCTTTGTAGTAGAAATGACAGCGGCGGACCGCGACGATGCGCCCGTGGGTCAGAACGCAATCCTCACGTACCGGATCAGCGAGAACGTGCGCGTGGCCAACGACGCTGACCTTTTTGTCATTGACTCCAGCACCGGCACGCTTTCTTTGGCAGCGGAGGGTCTTGACCGAGAGTTTGCCGACAGCCACAGGCTGGTGGTGGAGGCCCGGGATGGCGGGGGCATGATAGGTACGGCCACCGTCACTGTGGCCGTGACGGACATCAACGACCACGTGCCTAAGTTCAGACAGGACCGGTGTGGCGCTCGCGTGCCCGAGGGCGCCGATGAAGACGCTGCCGTCCTGGAGCTGAGCGCTGTGGACCCCGACGCGGGCACGTACGGCCAGTTGGCCTTCAGTGTGGTGGCAGGAGATGCGGAGCAGCGGTTCTACGTGGTCGGCCACAGACCGGAGAAGACGGCCACGCTGAGACTGAAGAAGAAGCTGGACTTTGAGAGGCCGGGAGAGCAGCGGTTCAATCTGACCCTCAAGGTGGAGGACTCTGACTTCTCCAGCCTCATCCACTGTCAGATTCTGGTGGAGGATGTGAATGACAATGCTCCTGTGTTCATCCCGAGCTCCCGGCTGCTCCCCCCTCTGCCTGAGGACGTAACTGTGGGAACAAGCGTTGTTCAGGTCGTGGCCAGTGACTCCGACTCCGGCCTGAACGGGGACATTCTGTACAGCATTTCCCCCCGATCTGACCCACATGGGCATTTCACGGTCAGTCGAGCCGGCCTAGTCACGGTCGCCAAGCCGCTGGATAGAGAGACGGTTGCGGGTTACGAAGTGGTCGTCATGGCGACGGATCGGGGTAACCCGCCGCTGACTGGCACCGTCACGGTCCGCGTGCCACTGCTGGACGTGAATGACAACGGGCCCGAGCTGGAGGCGGCCTACTCTCCCGTGCTGTGGGAGAACAGTCCGGCGCCCCAAGTGGTCTGGCTCAACAGGAGCTCGACCCTGCTCCGCGTGGTTGACAGGGACTCCTCGGAGCACGGGCCTCCGTTCTCTCTCTCACTGCCCTCACTTTACTCCATCCACTTCCACCTGCAGGATCACAGCAACGGCTCCGCCACGCTCACCGCCCTGCGGCGATTTGACAGGGAAAGGCAGAGCGAATTCCACCTGCCGGTTATTCTGATCGACGGCGGCGAGCCACCAATGACAGCCACTGCTACGCTCACCATCACCATCGGCGACCAGAATGACAACGCCCATCAGGCAGGAGAGAAAGATGTCTATGTGCATACCCGCAAGGGTGAGTTCCCGGCTTCCCCGCTCCTTTAATTTTTCTTTGCTACAGAGCTTTTTTTTTTACTGCAGGCAGATATGTGAGTGAGGAAAAGAAACGGAGGCTACCGCTGAAGGGTCAAGTTTTCATCCCCGTACCTGGTTGGTGTAGTCAGAATTTAATGATACTCTTTTACATTCTAGCAGCGTTTTTTTATGGTAATATCGTTGTCAAATCCTTTCTCGAGCCCTCAGCACATTCTCTCCGTGTGCCTAAAGCTCATCCCAAGCATCACTTTATGATAAGGATTATGATTTTAGTTGGGTGTTTTTTAACCATCCAGGTAAATTTGGTTAGGTGTGCTGGCTTGTTAACGTTTTGATTGCACACTACACGGCGGTTTTGTTAATTGTGGAAAAAACGGGGAACGCCGTGACTCATCTAGGTTGCCATTGTTTACTCGGCTGCACCACTCTGGCAGTGCAGGTCGATAATAACATAATCCATACAGAGATACCCGTGCATCCTTAAGCTCCACGCTCTCTGAAGTGGAGCGCCGAGAGCCTATTCTTTCCAGCAGTGGGGCCTCCTCAGTTATGAGCACAATAAGTCAAAACGAACACAAGAAGAGAGGGACGACTAGATAAGTGTGGGCATCAGCAGATTCTGCTCAGACTCAATCAATGTGGGCATGTGTGTGTGTGCGTGTGTGCGTGTGTGTGTGTGTGTGTTTACCTTGAGCAGGAAGGCTTGCAAATGCGGCACTGGGGAAGGTGTATGCCCCAGATCCTGATGACTGGGACAACAAGACCTACACTCTGGAGACAAGCGCGGCCAAGTAAGAGCGCTAAGTTAAATGCATATCATTATTTCTTTCGGGAAAACATGCTGATCTCCAAATTTGCAGCACAAGTACAAGTGCTAAAGCAAAACACGCCAGAAGAACTTCCAACATTGTAGAAATTGGAGAAAAAAAACAGCTGTATTTCTGATATCACTCGGCCTGAAACATTTGACTCCTAATCTTACATTTAATTCCCCGGGCTCGAATATGAGCTAAACTTTCCAAAAAGGGACTCTAAAATCAGCCGTCAGCAGTGATTGTCATTCTGGAAAAGGCAATCAGATTCAAAGAAAATAAGCAATCTCGCTCCAACTGTATGGTATTCCCAAGATGGAACAAACCGTTTTAAACGCTGTTTGACTCCATCAGGTTCCTTGTGCAGCTATTCAGTATTCACACCCTCAAGATCAGATTAGAAATACCAATTGCAAATTTGTTTTACCTTGAAAACTATGAAGCTCCTTTGGTTTCCTTTTTCACCTTCCTGGCTTTTTTTTTTCTCAAAATGAACTTGCGTTAGCTTCCTAGTGGAGTGAATCCAGGTAACCTGAGCAATTCCGTGCTTGTCTGTGCCCGTCTGTCAGGTACTTTTCTTCAAAAGCTCAGAAGCAAAAAAAAAAAAAGCCACTTGCCACTTTTTTTCTTCTATTTCTTACTTTAAGCCGTCCTCTCCTACTTAACCGCTCCTCTGCTTTTCTCAGATACTTCGGTCTGAACCAGAGCTCGGGAGTGCTGACTATCAAACCCAACACTCCAGCAGGCAGCTACTGGTTGAGGGTCGGTGTGTCTGACGGAGTGTGGCCCGACGTGTTCTCAGGGGTCAGAGTTCATGTTAGGGAGCTGGAGGAAAAGTCCATCTTGTTGTCTGCCTCGCTGCGTCTGACTGGTAACGTTACAACTTCGTGGCATAACATAATATTGTCTTTAACAAGGTTTTTTTTTGGGTTGGATCCTCAGTCTCAGTCGTCCTCCTCCAATTAGAGAATACGTCCTTTTGTTGCCGTTGTTTTGCGATTCTTTTTTGAGACTGTTGACAGAGACAGCATCTGCCACGAGCATGAATAAATTGCTACTTTTCTTTGACTTGATTAGCTGGTTGTCAATCCAGTTAACGCTGAAATAATAGGCTGTCAGCAGACATTTTAACACTTGCATTATTTAACTGCTCCAAGTATTGTAAAGCAAGCTTCCGCACGGCTTGATGGCGATAGCTTCCTTGACGCTCTGAAGTTTATGTCGGAGTGTCCGTCAGTCTCTCAGAGAAAATGGCAGTAGTAAAGGTCAATTTGGAAGTGTCAGGTAAAGTCCTTGACATTTAAAAAGCCATTCGGCGGCTATTATGGAGGCCTCGGACTCGGAGTCATTATCATTTCGGGAGATTAAAGATGACTGCCCACATTCTGCAGATATTATTGGAAGGTGGCACCACAAAAAGTGATAAATTTCCCAGGTCATTAAAACATTTTGCACAAGGCAGCTGTTCAAGACCCTGACTTTATTACAGCGAAGAAAAGCAACGATTTTTACTTGACTGCATCACAACTTATGGCTGATCCGGTGAGGAGGTGGATCAATAACCTGAGATGTTAGGCTACCTCTTTGTGCGTATGGAATCCGGAAAATGGCAGACTTTCATCAAGCCTGCAAGTGTCATCGACGACTGAGCAGTCCTCTCTCTCTCTTGTCTCCTGAAGGCATAACAGCGAGAGGATTTATCGACCCTCACGTCGAGGGGAAGAGTCGACTGGAGACGTTCTGGGACTTCCTGTCTGGAGCCCTGTCCGTCAGGCCGGGGAGCGTCAACATTTTCAGTATAGCAGACAGGGAGGAGAGAACCGTGGACGTCCATTTCTACGTGCTAACCGATAATGGCTACATGCGCCCCGAGAAACTCCATTCGGTCCTCGCCGCTCATAAAACGAAGGTATATATACCGCTACCGTCTGATAGATAGAGATCGATGCTCATACATGAAGCATTGCACTCGGGCTCGGGAGCTTGAGTGGAAGCGATATCTCTTTATCTGCCCTTTCATTTTCACCCCAGCTCCCTGTCTGTTTATTGCCTGGCTGTGTCATGTCTCTTTATCACTCCCATTTTTACTTCTCTTTGTCTACTTTCCTTTTTTTTCCCTGCTTCTTTCTGTTTTCTTCATTCATCTATTATATAGAATAATAACAGCCTCTATGTAAATCAGGCCCGGCCTCTCTCTCTCTCTTTTGCCTTGCTTGTGAAGTCCTTTCACCCTCTAAATGTATGTCACTCTGCGCTCACCCACATTGGAGATATAAAATCCTTGTCTTCACTGACAAGTTCCGTAATTGCCATGTTTGTCTCCCGCATCTCCTCCCTTCTCCCGGCTCTACGCAGCTGCAGGCCTTGCTGCACGCGAACGTGAGCCAGGTGCAGGTGGACGAGTGTGTGCGCGCTGCCTGCCAGACAGCCGGCGGCTGCTCCACACGGTTAGGCATCGCTGACACGCCCACCCTGGTGGACTCGGGTGCCTTATCCCTGGCGTCGGTGAAGGTGACATCCTCGGCTGTGTGCGGTTGCGCCGCCAGGGAAATGACCCGCCAGTCCTGCTCCTCCTACGGCATTAACCCCTGCCTGAACGGGGGAACGTGCGTGGACACCCAGGGTGGATACAGGTGAGAAGCCCAGCGGTTTCGCTGGGGGACTTGGAGTTGGAAATGGCTCTCAAAAGATGCACGAAAGTGAGATGGGAGATTCCTTATATTTTCGCAGTTTTTGCTCTAGTCCTCGGGCTTAGTGTAAGAGTTTCATCTTCGAAAATGAGCCCCTCTTCTCCTTAAAAAATCTCCTTCACCTGCAACTTGACCTAACTGGCTTGAGCTGCTCTGCTATGTTGTCAGCTGAATATAGAGTAGCAGGATTTTTCCAAAAGGCTTTGGGCTATTTGAAATAAAATAAAGTGTATACGAACTGTATATTCAGTGTAGCCTGGCCAGATTCTAAAATTAGACCTCGTGCACTGTGTTTCGCAGAACTTGACAGTTAATAATGAACACAGCTTTTGCATTATTGTTGCAATTTGGCGAATGCAAGGTCATTAGCCAATAGTCTGATTATTAACTAGGGCACGTTAAGACATTATTGCGTTAACTCATGTATTAATTAACACCGACAATTATTTAATAACAGTTAGTTTTTATCACAATATGTCCGTTGCACAGTGGCTCTAAACATACAGACAAACCATTGCTTACGAAGGGCGGGGCGGGGGGAGGTTGTTGACCAGTATTGACTCTGGAGGGGCGTCATCCCCAATCTCAATCAATGAGCAGGGACTGAAAAATGGAGAAAGGTAACAAACTCTTATGTGGACAATTTCTCTTTAAGAAACACAAAGCGAGCAAGTTGATGGAGCCAAAATTATTTGTAACCACTCCTGCTGTGTTTTTAGATACGCACAAGACGTGAGAGTAAACTCCTCTTAATTAAACTCTTTGGGGTAAACCAGCCATGCGGTTCTTCCCCGAGGATGTTCCCCTCCTCTAAATCCCCCCTGAGTCCCCTAAGTACTGCTCCTTATGAACATCAATAAGCATTATGAACATCAATATATAACAAAAACCACAACGACTGTTTATGCTGCCCCCTGATAAAGAAATGTCTTTTTTTTAATGCACTTTTGTTTTATACGGTACCAGTCAAAGGTTTGGACACATTTTCCCATTCAATTCAATAATAAAGTGTGGCCAAATCTTTGACTGATACTGTATATTAGTACTTTCATAATAAAATGCACCACTTTTATGTTTTTAATTTTCCGCAATATTATAATTGTTGCTCAGTACTAATATTAACCCAAAATATTCATAAATTCATAAAAACTGTAATTGTTTCTGTGTGAGTCTATTGCGGAAGAAACAGCACGCAGCTCATTTCATGCACACTCTAATGCCCAGATTAAATAAATATAGGGCAAGGGGATTAGTACAACTCTGGCCCCCCTCTATGCTCACAACTTCTCCTTTAATGTCATTTACATGCATGGATGCAAATTCATGTAACAACAGTGTGAAGAAATCTCTCCTCTTATTTTTTTTCTTTCAATTTTATGTTTAAAATTGTCTCTACTGCAGCTAATCGGCACACTGCTGAGAGGAGCCCTTCTTCTGTAAGAAGACTATCTGCCATATGTGCCCATATATGACTGCACCACAACCATACACAATCCAATTTTGGGTTATATCCTCTGTCAAAGGAGCTTAACATGCAACCTCAGACGGTAGCTGATCAGATACTGTCAGTCAGAAGTGAGAAAAACATGCTGTGCGCTTGAGTTGGATTGGCCTTGCTCTCACAAGTCACATGAAAGAGCAGTGAAAGAGTGAAGCGTTGTGCATATGTATGCATAAGGCTACGTTCCGCCTAAGTGCCGTCCCTCTCATTGTGCGCATGAATCAGTATTCTTGACATGTGTTGCCCAGCTGCAGAATAAACATTGATGGGAAGAAATAGCCTCCAACAGCCTCGGCACTCACAGCCTTCCTCATACATGGCATGGAAATAGATGGCTTTTCACATTATCAGTAAAGCCAGCTTGTCTACAATGCCTACATTGGAGGAAATGGGATGAGATCAACCGCTACCTCCCACCCTGGCCGTTGGAATGATATGATGTGCACCATGTAGGTGTTTTTCATCACCGCATGTACCTCTTCCTTCATGGTAATTTTGTCAGATTATTTGAAATTACGATCTCACTCACGAATACGTTGATTTCTGGTTTCTGCTGAGGCAGTGATCCCTATCACTCGAGCTCTAATCAAAGTAGATGAGTACAAGAAGAGGCAATTGCGCAGATATCAACCAAAGCGTGTAATACCTCAAGAATGAAAAGGGGGCGGGTGGGGATAAGGGAGAAATTGATTGTACGGTGCATAAAAAAAGAGTGAACAATAATAATGAATTATCCCTTACCACTGAAGATGGTGACGCGCCGAGTAAGAGCAATCTCCGGCGGGTTCAGCCCCAGCAACTGAGAAGAATAGAACAGAGTAAAGTTGTGTTCATAGCTAATTGATTCAACACGGAATTAGGTATTCAGGGATTTGTTTAAAAATGCAAACAATTGACCGATGAGACCGCACTTTCTTAGCCGCGTAGGCAGTCGCCATGTTGGTGCAACATCAAAGCCCCCCGTTCCTGTGCGAATCAACAAGACTGTCACGTCCACCGCAGAAATGTCACCACACTCAGATCCAGAGATTGGACAGAGTGAAGATTTCACGGCTCGAGAAACATGAACAACGCAGATTGTTTCCTTTCCCCCCATCTTTCGCATTGATTTCCCTCACAGCGCTCTAGTTTTCTGTGCTACAGGTGCCACTGCCCCCCGCAGCTCGAGGGGCCAGAATGTCAGCAGACGAGGCTTAGTCTCCTTGGCAACGGCTATGCCTGGTTTCCCCCCATAAGGCCATGCTTTGATAGCCATCTTTCCCTGGAGTTCATGACAGCGGAAGACGATGGACTGCTGCTGTATGCGGGCCCACTGGCTACTCTGCTGCCCGGGGACAGTGAGGACTACTTGGCCATAGGTAAGCAATAAGTCTGCATAATTACATGGCCTGCTGGGGGGACGTGCAGGCCATTTTTCACTAAAACCAGAAACTTAATTTTGTGTTTAATTGCTGGGCGGCAGCCAATCGGATACATCAGGCAAATTTTTTTGTTAGTCTACCGCTGAGGGAAATGAAAAACTCACTCTACCGAGTTACACAGTAAGTACTTGACATGCCGGCTACAAAGGCAACGCGGTTCAACTGTTTAATGTGTATTAATACTTTGTCCTGTGCCACAAGGAATAGTGCTTCCGCGTCAGTGCTTCAGCTCCTGAACAGACTCAATGGCTGGTTGATATTCAGTGTCTCAGCCAAGATCACGTCAACGAGGTTTATTCTGAGAAAGGCTAACCCGAATGCTATAGGTGAAGGACAGGAGTAAAGAATAGATCAAACCGAATGTACAAAATAGTAAAGTAATAGATTAGAGTATGAAAACACTGCCGCATGTTGTTGATGCTAGTGGAATGACAAAGACATAACGTTTTTAGACCCTCCTAAATCATGCATGGAAGGGCTCTGTTGCTGTTGCACACACACACACACACACACACATACACACACACACACACACACACGTCTCCATAAATTGTATTTTTCTGCGCTATGGCGATCTGACAGCCTCATATCATGTAAAGATGCCGCAGCAACACCTCATTTCAGAAACAATGTCATCATCGCTGAATTATTCACGCGCTTCCCTGTGTGTGTGTGTGTCCGTTCCTCAACTTGATTTTTATCTGCTATTCCGGATCACTATTTTCCATCACCGTCTTTGTGGTGAGCAGGTGATTTCAAATTCCTGGCCATAACCCCGCTGTGTTATTTTTGCCTTGTCAGTTTATAGTGCGTGTAAGTTCTGTGGTGGGACATTTCAGTGTCCCTTGGGTCTTTATGAAACTGTAATTTGCATTTTGCCATATTTTTTCATCACAGTTTTTTTTTTCTTGACCTTGACCGGTACATTTTGTCAGAGCAAACAAGTTAAGCTCTTTTTCTACAAATCTCTAAGAGCCTTTTAATGCCTCCACGCTGCCAACAGCTGTGTTCGGGGGGCTTTATGTTTTGGGGTTATCCGTACCAATATGATGAACAATCTTGGGAACGCCTGGAGGGAAATTCATTACACCAGGGACAAACATCCTCTTGGACTCAAGTACGAATTTATTTGAAATTGGTTGTCAAGGTCAGGGTCACTGTGAAAGTGACGATATCTTAGAAAGACGTGGATGTAAACTGCGGCTTCACTGGTCGGGGGAGGTGTCCAACCGCAATGCACCAATTCTAGTTTGAATTGAAAAGGTTTCATTGAGGTTAAATTATGATCTTGATCGTTACTGCTGGATCTTCATTTTCCTCAGAATTGATTGGTGGGACACCTAGTCTGAAAATTAACCACGGCTCGGGGACCCTGGTCCTCCAGTTAACAAATAACATCGGGGTGACTGACAGACGCTGGCATCGCCTCGACGTGAGGAGCAATAGCGAAGTAAGAGCGGCACATCTTTGCATCCCCAGATGTCAGAGTAAAATATGGTCTCTAATTTGTAGAGCGCGCATGGTTTTATTACACTCACGCATCCATACATGCAGCAGCAATGACCTCTCCCCACTCTGCCTCAATTTAAAGGAAGTACACTTCACCCTGGATCGATGTTCCAGTGCAATCATCATGGAGACGGAGGGTGTGGACTCGTGGGCAGTGACGGAGGACCGCTCATCCTGCGAAATCCGCGGGGTCACACCCAACCGGGACAAGTAAGATAAATGTTTAAATGTAGCCAGAACAGCACTGCTCACGATGAAAACCTGGAGGTTCTTTCGAACGCTGGAGGTACTAAATGATGGGATAAATCATTTATTGTGTTCATTGTATAATATAAACATGAACTTTTAGGCATAAACAAACATGATTGGCTTCAGGGGGTAAACCCCTATCTTTCTTCTTGCAGCAGTTTGCAAGCTGGTAAAAGTGAAATATTTAAATTAAGTCAATGTTTTACATACAGATGTGATACTTATACTGTATCTAAAACTAATTCTTCCGAAGGAATTTAATTTTGTTCATTATTTTAATAAGCATTTGTAATACAGCTGTAAAAATGAAAAACATTTAGAAAGCATCAGCCGAATGATTGTAGCTGAGAATTTTTTTTTTTTTACTTTGATTCTATTAAGTTTACAGTAACCTGGAGTAGTGGTTGGAATAAAAATGAGCTACTCTGATTATTTTATATGTATTGGTATGTATTATAGTTATTGTTTTTTTTTATTGAGTTTTCCAAATCCACTAATCGATATTTTAGTCTACGATGGGCTCAATAGGCTTGAGCCCAAGGTTTGCTTGACTTGCTTTGGCTGTAAATAGGATAATATTCAAAGATGCATACTTTAATATAGAACAAAGAAAGCAGAAAATGCTCAGATATAAGGAGCTGGAGCCAGACTTTTTTTCGGAATAGATTTAATTTTCTGGTTGTTATGCATTTCTTTAATTTTATTTATTTATTTATTGTTTCAGCACAATATTGTATCTTCCCCCCCCCCCCCCCCCCGTAGTGAGGGCACATGTGATCTTTGTTTTGTTGTATAATTAAGCTTTGAATTTAAAAGGATTATTAATTACGTGTTACCACTATTTATTACAGTAACTTTTAAAAAAAACCTATTTACTCTGATAACCGTATTTGAGTTCAACATCATTAAATATTTAATATGGTAGTCGACAAGCCAAAATCAGAATTGAAAATATTCTGTTTCATCTCATTCTTCCAAGAGTTGCTGGGCTGAATCGTTTCGAGCGAATGCAATTTACACGTTGTGCTTTTACAATAAGGGAAGAAAACAACAATAAGATGTCAGCCTCATTGTCAGAGAGCAGTGACTATGAAGGCAGCCTCAGTAGGAAAATAATAAACCATGAATTTTAAGCTTGACAGCTTATATGATGTGTGTGTGTGTGTGTGTGTGTGTGTGTGTGTGTGTGTGTGTGTGTGTGTGCTCCTTTTCTTCAGCTTTTATTTCTGTGTTTTTATATTGAGAGGTGTGTTTTGAATTCTAACTGTACCAACTTACACTGTATTTCTTTTCTTCTCCTCGGTTTTTCTTATTGATGGTTGGTTTTTCTTTCCCAGGTACCTGAATGGAAGTCAAGTATTGCAGATTGGAGGGGTCAACAATAACATATCCTATGAATACCCTCAGCTGCAGCACACGCATTACACTGGATGTATAAGGAACCTAGTTGTGGACAGCAAGGTACTGCAGAAGTGAACACACACATTGCCGTGGTAGATGAATAGATTCATCTCTACGTTTCCTTTTAGATTGCAGCGTACTGGAGTGCTTTATTTATATAACTTATTCCATAGATGTGTTGTAAATACAGTGCACCAGCAAATTTGCTAATAAAAAAGGACCGCTTGAGTCAGTTGACTCATATAAAAGAAAACACGCAAACATTCACATGAATTATTATAAGTACCAGCAAAAGTCAGTGGCTGAATTTTAGCCACTTTATATGCAGTTGAATAGAAGGATACACTGGCTTTGAATTTTAAATCTAAATATGCAATCTAACTAAAGCTGTTAAATCAATGTTGTGGCCTACGAAGCACGCTACGTCTCTTGTAAATGTTGCTAAGAAGTAAAGAACAACATGCAGTGAAAATACATTAACACTACTAAAGTCTAATAAGTCAATGCCTTTGCACTGGAAAACCTCCATTCTAATTATACATGACCTCTTATTTTACACCTTTCTGTCTGTGCAACACTTAACCCTGCGTACGATGAGTTGAGGATAAATCAAGCCATAACTTATTAGTATTAAACAGACAGGAATTAGATATTGATCTTACATCTAATGGCAAAAACCACCCCAAGCTTTTCTCCTTTTCACATTTTCTTTTTTCTTTCTTGTGTTCAGCTATATGACCTTGGCTCCCCAGCTGAATCCTCCAACACTGTGGCAGGCTGCTCTCTTATTGATGACCACTGCAGCAACATGGAGCGATCGTCCCCCTGCGGCAAGAGGGGTCGCTGTCACGGCCAATGGGGCTCCTTCAGCTGCCTCTGTGAACCCGGGTTCACGGGGCCTCAGTGCGATCAAGGTGGGCACACCATTTTGCTTTGATTTGGACCATGAGGGTTTTTTGGGGGTTTTTTTTGCATCAAAGACCTGTTTGATCCCAGTGGGAGTTTGGGGTATTTTCAAGCCTCACACAGAGTAGAAAGCCTTCCGGTATGTGGGGAAAATTCTACACCACAAAACAGCACTTTGCTGCGGTGGAACATAAAGTGCTTCTGCGGTTAAAGCACGGCCCTCGCTGCAATATCCTCAATTATTTCTCACTCGATGTCCCAATTAACTCGAAAACCGCGTGCGTGTGTTTTTTGATTGACAAGGGGCTCCGGAGTTCTCCTTCGACGGCCGCAGCCACGTTCAGTTCCACCTCCTGTGGTCGCTGCCTGCGTGCCTGACGAGGGTCCAGCTCGGGATTCGGACGCGCGCCGCCTTTGGCGTCGTCCTCAGCCTGCTCTCCCGGGAGCAGAACGAATACCTACGCCTGGAGGTGAGTCACGGCTCATCACACCCTTGACAGCTCTCATTGTCTTGTCTGTGGGCCTCAAGAAGACAATTAGAGCCGAGACAAATGATTGCTGCAAATACTTGTCAGGCTGAGAGTGAGTAATATCAGGGTTGGAGACATATGCGTGGATACTGAGGGGGCCGGGGGATTGACATCTGTGTGTTCTCAACAAGGTCTTTCAGCGGAGTCTGAAGAATGCTTCCAATCGAGAGGCTGCTGTTTAAGAAATTAGGCCTTCTTTGTTCAAGGTTATTTATGTCTCTGCGGAACATTTTTTAAAACACTTCACCGCGGCAAAAGCAACTGCGGGCACTGCGAATCAAAGGGCACGGGTGCCGTCGAGTGAAGGTTAGATCCCCCCTGCCCTGAACTTGAGGCTTTTAACACAGCTTGCTTTGAGTAGCGAGTTTAAAGCTTTTGCCACAACTGCTGCCGAGTGGCGCTCACGCAGGAGGAGACGAGGCCACCTCACTTTGCCAGGCCTCGATAAACGTTACTGAGAGGATAAGAAGCCCGTGTTGTTGCCTGGACCCACTGACAGAAGTAAGTGGCTCCGTTAGTATGGCGTTATATTTGTGCCACAATCCTGAGCGCGTAAGTTTTGAGCACAGAGTTTTGCTATATTTTAGCAAAGAAAAACATTCCGTGCGCGCAGTTTACTGAGGTGCCCTCGCCACAAACTGGTTTTCTGCGCGCAGGCAGCCGTTGCTGCGCTCTCTCCTCGTCTTCACTCTGCGCTCGCTCGACTTGCAGCAGCGTTACATTTGTGCCACAAAACCAACCAATCAGAGAATTAAAGAAGGTCAATTGCGATTGGCTGTTGGTCTACAATCACAACGCTTCCTAAAGAAGACGAAAACGAGTGATATTAGAAGTCCGGCTAGCCACCATCAGACATGACCGAAGCAAATGATGAGAACAACACGTGTTTTAATCCAGGCCATTAGCATTTAGCACAAATGCTGCAAACTTCAACAACTCGCTGAGCTTCCGCGATGCTGTAGGTAGTTCTACTAGCGTTGTGATTGGAGACCAACAGCCAATCACAATTGACCTTCTTTAATTCTCTGATTGGTTGGTTTTGTGGCACAAATGTAACGCTGCTGCAAGTCGAGCGAGCGCAGAGTGAAGAGGTGGAGAGAGCGCAGCAACGGCTGCCTGCGCGCAGAAAACCAGTTTGTGGCGAGGGCACCTGAGTAAACTGCTAAAATATAGTTCTCTGTGCTCAAAACTTAAAATTACGCGCTCAGGATTGTGGTACAAATATAACGCCATACGTTAGGACCTTCGCTTTGGGCCGAACCCGCGTCCGTCACACCGCATTCCACTCCACTGGTCTGTTTGAAAAACATCTTGTCCGGCGCTTGTTACGCGTTAGACGGCGTTGTTCGAAGCGAAGACCTCGTCGCTTGTTCCTCTTAGGAACTTTGAGCTTTGTGGGGGGGAAAAAAACAATGTTGTCCTCTTCGCTTGATGCAGTCCCACGGCGACAGGAGCAGGAAAGGGCTGTGGCCTTGTGCCGCGTGCTGCCCGTGAAGCTTCTCTCTGAAACCCTCTGCGGAGTTGAATTGGTGAGCTGGATAAAACATCTGACTTCTGTCTGCTGCGCCACGCTGAAACATTTTCAGCTGTCTCAAAGCTCTTAGAAATACTTGAGCTGAAGCCTGGTGTGTTTGCCTACAACAAGGCTGAATTTAAAGGGCCGTCTCGCTCACCCTTCTTTTCTTAAGGGGAGATATGGGGTAGAGTGCTCACTGAATAAATAACCACACTTTCATCCAAAGGTTACCGAAGGCTTGCTGCGTAGAAACAACATGCAGCTCTCCAAGGAGTGTGGTGTCTCTGTGCAGAAAACACTCATCCGATGCAGCGTGTGAAGGCGGTTTTGGGGAGCGACTGGCATGCACTGCTTTGTCAGGACCAGTGACCCTTAAGAACACTAAAACTACAAAATCATTGCCTTTCATTTTTCCTTTTTCTTTTTTTGTTGCAGAATTGTGACCCGAGTTTAGTATTCTGCAAAAATTCAGACCTCAGAAATGCATTTTTGAACATTTTGTGAAGATGGTGATTGCAGAGATCTCTGGGGGCAGAAAGTTTGTATAATCCCATTATTTTTCCTGATTATTTATTATCCTTTGTCCTTTGCTCTCTTAGGTTGAGGAGCACTGTTGAGAGCAAAGTCATCTTTTACTGGTCGGCGTGTGTGTGTCTGTGTGTGTCCGGTGGGGGAGACGCATTTGAACTGCCCATGCTGAGGGGGAGCTGTGGTTGATGCAAGCGTGGCTGAATGTGAATTATCTTGCCCCACTGTTTCCAATTAAGCGTCGGACATGGACAAGCTGCAGCTAAGGGAGCCCCTCATTGGTTCGCTCCATTGTGTTCGCTCATCCTTAACTGCTGAAGATAATTGTTGTTTCTTCTACACCCTCCCCTTGTGGTCCCTCTCGCTTATGTGATGCAACAATGTGTCCGGCGGCTGTGCAAGGCATCGTGGCTGCAGAATGTCACAATTCATTTTTACAACTTAAACTTTTCATGCCTTTTTTGCGGCACGTTCACCACAGAGAGCCTCTTCTTGTTGGTTTAATAACTCACTTCTTGTCCGGCCCAACCTTTGCTTCTTCTTCTCTCGCCACGGGAGCTGGCCTACTTCTTATGATGTTGTTATGCACAAGATCTGTTTTTACCCATCAACACAGAACAAAATGGCAGGAGTCCAGGCCCGTCTCTTTGGAATTTGGGTCACCCCGTTCTACATTTTTATACGCCAGGCCTTAAAATGGTAAATGATGGGGTTTAATCAATGCAGAGGTCTTCTGCATGCAGTGCAGTAGTCCACCTGGAGCCCATCCATAACACGTGAAATTGCTTCTTGTCGTTCTCCCGACTGTTGGAATGTCTGCATTTTGGAATTTTTCTTTTTGTCTCAGGTCATTCAGGGTCTGCTGGCTGTTTTCTACAACCTCGGAGACGGAGACTACAACCTGACGCTGCCCCACCATCCCCTCGGCGACGGAGAGTGGCACGAGGCGGAGCTGGAACGGTACGGCAGAGAGTTCACGCTGCGACTGGACGGAGGTGGAGGACGGCGAGAAGTTACGGCCTCGCTCGGGCGGAGTCAGGAGATCATCATCGACCCCTCCGTGGTGATGCTCGGGAACTCTTTCCCCTCGGGACTCAACCGGAGCTTCCTCGGTAGGTGGATGCTCACGACCCTTGATTGAGACTTAAATGAGTGTTTATTTAAATGAGTGAACAAATGAGCAATTAACAGCTTGATATCCAAATAGTTTAATTTACAGCCATGTAATGAAAGCACTAACTTGTATACCTGTTCATAAAAAGTAAGTAAGTCAGTGGTTTTAAGTAACTCTGGTGGTTACACATCTCACAACCAACCAATCAAAAGGTGTTTGATCCTTTTGTTCCAGGCAGATGAGAGAAAGAGAGTCCATGGCACTGAGTGCTGATTTGAATGATGTGTTAGAGCCTCGCGCTTCCCACAGTGAGCAAACTACCCGGCAGTTTGCGTGTCCATAAAACACTTTTCCCGAGGACTGCTGTCTCTGAGTGTCTTTTGGCATTGTGAACTCAGATTTTTTTTCCCCCCTATTCTATCAGGATGTTTGAGAGATGTGAGGTTTAACGGCCGCTCCGTCCCTCTGGGACGGGACCAGCCCACCGAGGGGCTTCAAGTGATCACTTCGCAGGGCGTCTCTGTTGGCTGCTACTCAGAGGCCTGCAGGAAACATCACTGCTCCCCTCCCTTAGTGTGTGTGGACCTCTGGAGACACCCTGAGTGCAGGTAAATAAATACAGCATAAATAACCCCGGGTGTTAATGACACCGCGCATACATACATACCACAGCCGTGCTTATGACAAGATGACCAATGGCAGCACTCAACTTGCAAATGTTGCAAAAAGAAATGACATCAAGACCTACAGACTCGTGCAGTATAGATTTCCGAAAGCAGGCAGATAGAATAATATAACCTTTTGGAAAGGAACTTTAAATGTCAAGTAACTTATCAACCATATTAACAACTGGTCACATTAGGTTGAATGCTATTTATTATCATTTGTCAGGTATAAGCAAGGTCTGGAAATTGGCACTCATTTGTAAAGGTTTTCAAAGCAACACATTAATTAATTAATTAATTAATTAATGATTACTTGACACATATTATTTACTTAACACATATTAATTAATGATTACTATTTTCTAGATAACATGAAACATAAACAAAACCCGTGAATAATTAGTTTGTCTGTTCCTTTATGCGTATCTATATAGTCATTGCAAAGAACAAAGATTTAAATCCATATATTATAATTTTATTCATATTGTATGAAATAGAGTGTATACTCAATGAGTTGCCCTATCATACATATTCATGTATTATTGATTAATAATAATTTACATGAATGCATAACTGGGAACCCCCAACGTTGTTCTCATTAATGTACGAATTAACAATCTCCATCAATGAAACGTATTAGCATCCAAATCCAAAAGCTCCATTTCAAAAACATCTGAATCCACATAAATAAGAGCAATAAGCACGCATTAATCAAAACAAACGATACAGCGCTGGTAAAAGAAGCCCATGTTTGTGCATTTGTGTGTGTGATCAAAGTGTCCACCAGAGGGCAGCTTGGTGTCAGTTCAGCCCCTTCTCCACTGTGAGGGTCAACCTGTGTGTCCATAGTGTCTAACAGCTGCCTGCAGGACCATAGTGTCTAACAGCTGCCTGCAGGACCACTAACGTCTCCAGGCTGTGATTTTAAGGCTCTGAAATAGTGAGACTTTGCACTTCGTCCACTCCATCCGGTTTACAGATATACTGTGGAACTACTCCTGCAGAGCCGACCTCAGTTTATCTCTTTTCTTTTTGTACAGCACAGTCAACACTTTGTAACTTTCAAAGAGCATATATTTGAACTTGGTTCAAGGACTATAACTCCTGAGGGATTTGCTGGTGCTTTTGTCTGCTCAGGGGTCAAAACTCTGCAGAACCCGACGCTCCTTTTCATCCGGCAGCTTTCTCCAACTGTCTCTGGTCTCTGTTCCACACCTCTGTTTCCGCTCTGCACAGGTGCCCCGCGGGTCACATGACCAAAGAGAGCTCCCTGGGCAAGGTGTGCGTGTACACGCTGTGCGCCAGCCAGCCCTGTCGCCACGGCACCTGCGTGGCTCACTCGCCATCCCGCTACTCGTGCCGCTGCAGCGAGGGCTACCGGGGGCGACACTGCGAGGTGACGCTCGCCATGTACCACGACGCGGACAGCACCAGCCTCAGCCTGAGCTCCATGTTCGCCATCAGCATATGTGTCATGGCTTTCCTAGGTAGCTATGTCGACTATGTGCTCTTACTCCTGTGGTCTACCTGTGGTGACCCAACACTTCACATGGAAGCGGTAAAGGTTCCCAGGGAATGATGGAGCTTCTTTATGTGTTTCTTTCAATATTTCTTATCTTTTGTGTCCCTTGTCTTTTCCAATTTTATGCTCTGACTTCAGAAGTCAATTTCTTTTTCAGCCTTACTTTTTATGTGTCCGACTTATTGATATTCCACAGTCCTCTCTTCACTCTTCATGTGCTTTTTATGCCATTACTTCAACATATCTGTGTACATTTTAGTTTCCCCAAGTCCCCTCAAATATGTCCACACTGTCCATTTACTGCGATCTACACTATTTGGAGCTGTAATCAGGGACCACATCAAGAAGAAATGCCAATTACAGACAGCTTATTGTATTTTACTTTAATTACCGTTATTCAAGGGGAATCACAGGCCAAGGGTTGGATTTAGAATCCTTTCCTTCACATCCTGATGCATGAGGACTGACGCGCGCGGTGCCATTAGTGTCAGTTGTGGACATGGCTGCAACGGCGTGTCAGTTTCCCTCTTGTTACACCAACAGTGTCATTTCAAAATACATCCCTCTTCTGTCTGTCTTCACCGGAAGATGTTTCACGCAGCAAAATCCCAGAAGCTTCAGGAGAACATCGACTTTACCTCGATTTACTGACGACCCAGGTGTACCTGTGTTTGTTTGATCCTCTTCATAACCCAACCCTAACCCTATTCGCCATTGACGCGCACTGATCTAAAAAGAAGGCCATTTGGCTTCACAGGCAGGCACAATTATGTATCTATTACAGATTTTAATATTTAAAGTGCCTTAAATTTAATCCGTAGGAGCAATAATACATTTTCTGAAAAATGTAATTTTAACTTGTGAAAATGTGTTTTGAAAGCTATAAAATGTCATTATTCATTAATGATAAGACTTCTGTTTATGAATAGTGACATCACTTAATGACAATCAGCTATCAATATCGTCGCCAATTATTCTTTCGTTGACAAACCGGTAAATCAGCTGATGCCTTGAACCACTTAGGTGCTGATGACACTGTCCAACTTCTGCATGATTGATGATGTCATCAGCTGTCCACCTACACGCACATCTGCTGCCAGCCGTGCCTTTTTAAATGCACATGCATTGATATCTCTACAGAAGATGAACCGTTGTCAGCGATGAGCTAATTGTGTTACAAAGCTAAGAAAATAAGATTTTCCCGGTCGTCACAAAGACCGAAGGACACGTGTGTGTGTGTGCATCTGTGTGAGTGGCTCTCGTGTTGATGACCCTCTGTGGGGCCACACTGCTGTTTATGAGTCTCTCTGTCGGAGGCAGGCTTATAAAACGCTCGGGCAATTCAATAGTCTCTGCCTCTATAACCGACTCAACGCTCCCTCCAGGGCATGTGGCTAGTATTGGGACATCAGTTATTCTGACATTTGAGAGTGAAACGCATAAAGCGGTCTTCAATATTTGATAATGAATTCAAAGATGATAAAGTGTGGCCTTGGCGTCGCTCATGAAAATGCATGTGTTTCTTGCATGCCGACTAAAGAAAGGTGCGGTCCGTTTAAGTGGCTCGCCCGCTGTCACCGATAAGGCATTTACATGCAAGTCCAGATCTTTCCCCGCACAAAGAACCACCGTCAGTTCGCCGGTACAGTTCAGCCAAAAAGAAGAGCTTAACTTCACAGTCGAGGGTCCTGAATGTGGACAGACGGTTACTCCAGTGATTTAATGAATATGTGGGTATACAACATGTCACCTCGGGATGCTGCTGCCATAAATAACCCACACATGCCGCACCGAGCTGCGCTACTAGCTAGGCGCCAAATTAAAGGGGGACTCCTTCTCTGCTTTGGTGTGCATTGAAGTGCCTGTTCTTCTTATTCCCTCAAAGATTTATAAATAAATAATTTCCCCCAACTCACACACATCACTCATCTGTCTCATTTCTTTCTGCTTATTCATCAATTTTCCTTTCCCTCAACCTAACCATTGATGTTTCTTCCATTTTTTTTTTCCTCATTAAACTCAGACTGGAGCTACAACGAAAGTGTTTTGATCAAACTGTGTTGTGGTGGTTTGCTCAACGCTCATTTGTAATGCACAGTCCAGTCTGGGCTAACATCATAATACCCTGCTCACGCTATCGGTTTGAGGGCAGAGAGGCAGCCGCATTATGGATTGATGAATGACTGCGATGTTTGTTCTCCACCCCGAGTGTTATTGATCTCGCTGCAATGTAGCTGCTCACACATACACACACACACACACACACACACACACACACCACCGGCAAAGTCTTTCCCCAAGCAGCTAGTGTGTGTGCGTGTGTGTGTGGGCGTGCATATGGCTTTATATAAACCGTATGTGGTGCAATGCCTGTGCTTCCCTCTCTGTGTTGTGTTTCGAACCCCCGTACTGATTGTGTAGAACATCCGGTGGAGTTGAGGGTCAAGGGGAGCAGCAGGCCTGCAGGCAGCACCTGTAAGCAGGTATAATTGTAGGCCGGAAGAAGGAGGGCGGGGGTCTTCTCCCGCTGCCGGGCCTCATTGAGATTCAGACGTTTCCTGCGAGGAATCGGCTTCTATATAACACGAGAGAAGCGTAGTGTAAATTATCGTGTTGCAGCTGGTGTTGCATGTGTTCCAGGCAGAGATGATCATTTTTAATTGAGATAACATTTTATTTATTTTTTTGCGCAGATTAGCTACAAGGGAGTTGGTTTTCTTTTTGTGAATATCTGCCTATTAGTGTGACCCCCAAAGAGCCGCATTGGTGCATTCTTCTATTTCGAGGCAATTACCTTAAAAATCCAGACTAATGTGATTACCTTGCATTTCTCATAAGATTTCCAATTAAACCGCTACTTAGCACACATGATATAAACCATTCTAGTTGAAATGGATCCCATCGAGTGTGAGGGATAAAAGCTGAGGCCAGGCAGAGGCCAGCGAGGGACTGAAAAACAGGAACCTCGGCAGACTTAATGAGCGGGGGAAGTGAGGAGGAATGACGGGAGGAAAGTTCCAACGCTGAGACAAAAAAAGAAAGAATAACAGATTAATAAAATAACTAACTAACCCTTGAACTAGTAAAAAACAGACTGCGAGGAAGAGAGAATGAGAAAAGGGGAATGGCAGATGGGAGAAAAATATATTGGTTGAGATTAATGGGCTTAAAAGGTCAGTCCAGCAGGCGGTATAATTCAGCACACAATAGCGGTGATTGATGCGTATGCTTCAGATCCTTCTCTGCTCGGCTCACGCGGCATTCCTACCCACCTCCAGTAAAAGCCACCGCGGCTTTGAGTTTAAGCTGGGAGGAGTACAAATAAGACTGGAGACCGAGGTGCAACTTAAATGGGAGTAGATGGAAAGGTGGAGCCTCCGCCTCCACATACGTACTGCTGGCACGTGACTGGACACCTAGTGCAACTGATGAGCTCTTAAAGGAAATATTAATGGGATGGAAAATTAGGTTCCCTGTGTTTTAGTCTATACCACCAATCTACAGAATTTAGATTGCATTTTAATTTTCACAAAAAGCATAGCTATTCACATTTTACAGCTAGTTTCTAAAGTATTTAATTCTTTGCATCATCACTTTTCACTTCCATGTTCATCCAAAGTGTTTTTCTGCTCGCTGTCTCCTTTCAATTATGTGAACGCAAGTTAACCGTCTCTCTGGCGCCCCTCAGTGCTGATGCTGGGCCTGTTCCTCTACTCCTGCTGGAGGAGACACAAGGGTCTGAAGGAGGGTGTATACCATGTGTCTGCACACCACGGCGATTGGGAGGACATCCGCGAAAACGTGCTCAACTACGACGAGGAAGGCGGAGGGGAGCAGGACCAGGTAAACAAATGCTACGTGTCCGGTACGGACGGTTGCAACACAGGCAGGGAGAGTAATTACAGCACTGAACACAAACATTGTGCAGCTTTTCTCTTTTTTTCATGTTCAATTTGCAGGTGTTTTCTTATTTTTTAACGTTGAACAATATTTCAGGACCTTTTAAAGGGATTTGAGAAAGCAAATAAGATAGAACAAATGCTAAACCAACAAAAACAGGGACAGGGCGTTTGTTTTGCGCCCTGAAATGAAAATCAAATATCAGCTCCCTGGAGATCTGGCAATGTGAGTCAATTAGCTGAAATTAGACACCAATAGCTGCTGATGCCTCTGTTTTAATAGTGATGTTAATGGCAGTTTTCACCCCCCTGTGCAATCAGATAATTAATTACTTGGCTAATCAATGGTGCCTTTAATGCTAACATCTCTAACAGCTTAGTCTTGGTCTGTGTTAATTTGCTTGCAGAGGCATTTACTTGTTACACTGCTCTGAGCACAAATTAGTGTCATAAGGCAATGATGTTGTTCCATTATCACTGAATTCCAAAAAAGGATTACACGGGAAAAACATGCCACGTCCTTTTCCTTCCTTTGCACTCTGCTTTGCTCCCTCAGAATGCCTTCAACATGGTGGAGCTGCAGCGCTCCCTCCAGCCCAGCCCGGCGCAGTCCCTGCGGTACAGCTACCTGCAGAGCATCGTTTCCTCCCCGCAGACCAAGCCCCCCGAGGACGACGTCAAGAAGGGGGCGCCTAACGGGAACGGCAGCGCAACCATAGCCCTGCGTCTGGCCATTCCGCCGTCGGAGACGGAGAGCCTCCCGTCCCCGCTGACCTTCCGGCGCTCGCAGAAAGCCCTCTCCTTCTCCAGCCAGGACCTGGCCCGCTACCTGTGCGAGGTCATCAGGGACATGGAGCACCCGGAGGAGCTCGGCGCCATGACCACGCCGCGTTGCCCCCACAGAAAGGAGCGCCGGCTGGCTGCGGTTCGCTCGCTGAGCTCCCTCGGCGCGCTGCAGGGGTCAGAGGTCAGGCTCCAGGCGGCCCAGGGCAACCGGCTGGACAGGTTTAAAACCCTGCGGGCCGTGGTAAGCGATTTGAGGGGAGAGTCCAAGGCTCCGGAGGGCCAGAAAGACAAACTGAAGGAGAGCAGAGGGCAGCTGAGCTGTGAGAAGAGCGGGTGAGGCTGCGGCAGAAAAGCGATGCAAATCAGAAGGCGTTGGTGGGATTCCAAAGGGAGATGATTCAATGTGAAATGTGAGACTAGGAGGTCGCCCTCCCCCCGTGAAGTCTACTATAAATGTACTGTATTGATGAAACTTTGATCATTTACGTTCTTTTATATACAACATGTTTACCAATGAATGATCGGATGTGACGTATTGTTTACTCGGCATTGCACTGTACAGTATTTACTTCACAGAAAGCACTTTTTGAAAGCGCCCTGTGTCAAAACCTTTCATGTCCTAAAGCTCATAAGTCTGCAAGCAAGACGGTAAATGAGTTTCCTGTGCGAGGGCTGGATTCTTGTTCTGCCATTAATGACTCATGAAATTATTTGTGATAAATGATTTTGTTTCATTTGTATTATCTATTTCCTTTTAAATAAATAATGATCTTTGATAATATTTCAAGCTTGGTCTTTTTTGAAACACAAGTTCACGTTAGTCATCGTCAAAATCTTTAGCATCTGAAGTTTAAGCCGACTTTCATCATCAAATGTTGGTCAGGCTGCGTTTCTTTTATCAAGACACAAAGTAAAGTCAGATTTGGAAATAAAGAATGAAACACCAATAATATTGTATAATATTCAATACAATTTTAAAATGCTATTAAAAGTAACACAAAGTCAAAGATTAGTGAGCAACATAAATATTATAGAATATCGAGAAAAGGTAAAAAAAATAGTTTTTGCATTCTGCATGTGATGTAATTTCACCCCAGAAAACGACCTTCAATAAGTTACACTGTGTGTCATCGCTACGTTGCTCAGTGAGAGGGCAGTTTTCTCTTCAGTGAGGTTCTCTCTTTTCTAAATACTTATTCACGTTTTTCCTGGATCCCAAGATTTTTTCCTTTGAAGTGAGGGGTAAATATTTAGGAAAAGAATCGAGGAGAAAATGTTTGACGTTTTAACCGTAGCCTCAGTAAAGGATGTCTAAAGAAGGAATTATGATATAGTTTGTTAAATAAAAGTCATAGTATTGTAACTAAAAATAAAGTAACAGTCAGTCAAAAGAGGTCATGGTATAGTATAGTATGAACAAAAAATACACAAAATATCCATTAGCCTTTAGTAAAAAGGAAAAGGTGGTGAGAGAAAAAGCCTCTTAATCATTAAAATGTAATCTTTTGCAGTAAATAATGTTGGAATACGATAAAAATAAGATAATCTTTTATTAGTCTTAGTAGTTAGTAGTTAGTTTTAAATTTACAGGATTGAGGCAGCAAAGGGAGTAAAGTTCACACAGACAGAAAACAAGATCAAACCGTCATGAAAAGCAAAAATAAAATAAGAACAAGACTCCACAATAACTGAAATTAAATATAAATACAGAAACAAAAATCCCTTTAAGACCACGAGAAACAAAAAAACAATTCCAACGTCAAGCAAGATCTGCATTATTTTGATGACTTGAAGGCCGGCGCTTTTGTTTTGGAGACTGTTCAGAACATATCTAGGAAATCAGAACACACTCATTCATGCCACAATTAGTCCGGAATAGATCTTCTACTACTATGATCTAACTCCCACCGGCCACGAGAGCCTCTGATGAGTAATGTCAATTTCAGGCTCAATCATTCATGTCTGCACCCTTCAGCGTTCTGAGTTGAGCTTCTGAGGGTCTGCAGCATGAACTAAATATGCGTCCCAATGGGTTGCTCTATACCACTACTGCTTAATTAGCTGGCATTGCTGGAGTTAAACATCTGTGACACTGAAGGGAGCCGCTGGGGAAGCACACAGAGCTGAGATGATGGTCCTGATGACTGTGTCCGGCACACGTACATGATGCATCGTCAGACACATGCAGGCAAAGAAGACAACAGTTTTTTAAGGCGCTTCACATTCAGAAATTTTGCAATCCAGAGTCCAGATCTCTGTGTGAGCTCAAAGATCACAACATGAATGCGACAGTGCATCTGCTTCTCTACAGATAATGCCGAATTATCTATGATTCACTCGGCCTTGCTTCAATCCTTGTCCAAGTTGCACGAAAGCACACTGCCACCTACTGAGAGCAGCAGCTCATCACCTCCGAATTTACACATTGTCTCTGCAGTGCACTTTTTTTCTACATGTAACATTGTCCATTTATAATGCTGGTTTTCATTCACTGCTGGATCAAATAAAACAGCAAATAAGGCTTGAATGGTGCATGCATATCTTACCAGGGCAAGTAGGACACTGAACCAGCTATTCCAGTGGTCAGACTGTGCAGCTTACAGGTGTGACTGAGAGCAGGATGTTCTTCAAAGGAGAAGCGCTGCTCACAGCAAAAGTACCCTGAATGAATAAAGGATAAGATGAGGAACATGTCTCCATCATTTATTCATTTAAATAGATGTAATTTCCCTGTCAGCCTTTAGAGGACACTGTGAGTCCATAAGCAGCAGCACTGTAGACACCAGAGGGCGAGAGGGATATACATATTATATGTATATATAAGTAAATGAGTGTACATATAATACTTTATTTCATCGACTTAATTATGATTAACTGATAACTGACTCATTAACTGAGTGATTATTGTTATGGTTAGAGGGGAAATCAGTCTCCATATTATTCTTATTAACTAAAATGAACTAGTTACAGTTTTCAGATAAATGTCCTGGGTTAAAATACATTCAAGTGACTGTGATCCATAAATACTAAAGTACCTCAAGTATTCAACTCAAAAAGTAGTACTTCAGTTTGTTTGGTCTGTTCTTATAACGTGTTGATTGAAACACTGATGCAAGCAAAGTCTTCACATTAGATAACGATTGTGAAAGAATGACAGCAGTACGAAGCATTATTTCTGGCTGCCTGGGTCCTCGTGCACTTCAGGACACATTTCCCATGAGATCCCAGTACAGGAGGCAGGGGTGGGGGTGGGGGGGGGGAGGTGGTGGTGGTGGAGGTTATAGTCTGGAGGCGGAGCCACGCAGGAGCAGAGTGTTTGACGTGACAGCTGGAGATTGTGGGAATGAGGGGTGACACAGAGCTCCGGCCTCCTCGGCCCCGGCCAGTCGTCCAGTCCGACTGTCAGTCAGTCAATCTGAAATTCCAGCTCTGTTTACTCTAGTGTTATTAACGTGTGCGTGCCTGTGTGCGTGTGTGTGTGTCCGTGTTTGTCCTCGGGCCATGGATCTGTGGAGAAGTGACAGTGTGGCGTGGCCCTCTGTCACTCGCCCAGTAAAGTGGCAAGCGTGTCAGCCCTCCTGACAGACGCTCCCGTCCTGCCGGCCCGAAGACGGCGGCTGCAAATATGGGACACGTCTCGTGACAGAGCGACACAGCCGACGCGACAACCTCGACGCGCAGACAGGACGCGAGCAGTCAAGTTTGATCTGAGGGGTGGGGTGTGGGGGAGGGTGGGGTCACCTCTGAGGGCCCGGGCTCCTCGGAGGGGGGGAGTGAAGGCCGCGGTGTTCCCGGCACAGCTGGGGATGCCTTCGCTTACAGTCTTTTGTTGTTGTTTTTAAATGGATGTAAGAGAAACCAGGGTTTTGTGTCGGAGATGTCATGACGTGGTCCTCAAATGTGCCCTGATGTTCTCATTCTGGGATGTTGTTGACAAACCGGACAACCACCGAGAAGCTTGGCAGCCTTTTAATTGGGTGTATCATTTTCAGAGAGTAGCACTCACTGGTTTGAGATAGAAGGTATGTAGGGTCCTGTTTCTGAAAACCAAACCTTACAGAAAATCTACATTTTGACCTCATTCTGCATATTTGTGGGGGAAAAGATCATTACTAAGGGCCAGTTGGGTATTATTTTTGCAGAACAGATACATAAAGTTTTTGAAAATAATATTGTGTCATTAAGAATTGAAAGGTCACTGTTGATGGTCCCAATGTGCAGAGGGTTTCGTACAGGTGCTGACATACAAACCCACCTTCAATCTAAAGCAATCGATTTCCCTCATCAGACTTGAAGTCTATATGCTCCTCTTTCATCCTTCTAGATAAGAACATCAACATGTTTAATGCATCTAAATCTGACCTGTGGGACCTTCTTATTTATGTATAAGTGTATTTTAATTATTCCATTAATACATTTAGCTGTAAGTGCAGTAACCACATCCTTTTTATACATCATAGTTTTTAGTTGTGTTACTTTTATAGTTGTATATATAATATATAAGATTATATATGCACTATGTGGGTCACAGCTATTTAAACAGTGTGCCGGATTTAATCCACATAATATCGTAATAATGCTGTAAATAGTTAACTTTACCCATCCAAGTCATTTCTTTACGTAAATCAGCTATTCCACGTCTTTTTCTCAAGAATGAGAAAGTGAACCACAGAGAAATAAATGGATGTCTAAACTAACCAACCCAACACGCAGTTCTCGTTCTCGGCCCACAGATGGCGCTGTTTTCCACACCTGAGCTCTGCCTGATATACTTCCACTACTCAGCTCTGCTGATCTGTGCTCACATCAAGATCCTCAGGTTTCTTTTCAGACTCATGCAGATGCTTTACCCCCCCCCCTTTTTTTTGTTCAACATTTTACAAACGGCGCCCCATACCACACCACCTCCCAGAAATGCGCTGGGCGCAGTTTATCATTGACTCTGTGGGAGCATGTAATGGCACAATCGTGGTGGATTCCGTGAGCGGTTGATTTATTAATCACTGTCCTCGGCTAAGCTGTGAATACTCAAATAGTCACCAATAACCTCCAGAAATCGCCTCCTCTCGCTGCCTTTCTTCTCTTGTTGTAAATGGGTTTTGCGCTCAGCGCCTACAGGTGACTTTGAGGCAGTAATTGAGTGACAACAACAACTAAAACTGTGAGGGGGCTCCGGTGTTGAATGTGGGCCGTTTGAAGCTCTCAAGGACTTTAAGTATACATCATCACGGAAGAGGAGGGTTGAGAGAACAGCAGCGGTGGGGAAGAAGAGGGGAGAAGCAGAGGGCCCCTGACAGATGGGCTTAGTGAGTGAATCATTGACAGGGTCCTGCTAACGGATGCCGGCTCCATCAATAGCTCAAAGGCTGCGTGATGAATTACTGCAGACAAACAATGCTGAGTAAGCAAATGTGTTTTTAACAAAGACCGGTGAAAATATTATTCAGAGCTACGAAAATCAAGTAGAGGCTATAATGTGTGCTTTATTTGTTGGGTTTCACGAGAGAAAACGGCAGAGCGACAGAAAAACGTAAAGCATAGCTTCTCTTTACATTTAAATGATGAATGTATTTTACATGTATTCTTTGAATTTGGTTTCACTTATTTGTATACATTTATTTGTATGTTTATTTCTTCAGAAGTATGCCACCTCTCATTTTTTCCTCAGTAACAGATTTAAAAAGTATTTTAAAATGTATATTACAGTTCAAGATATTAATTAATTAACCTACTTTTTATAGAGACGCCAAAATAACAGTTAACAGTCAATAGTAAAAATACGTAAGATTTGACTAAGATCAAACCGTGTTTAAAAATGATTTTTATTTATGGTCGCTGTAAATGACCACTAGCAGTGTTCTTTTATTTTGATGATCCTGTTTCCTACTTAGATTTTATGTGACTTTTATTTTGACATCATACTATCTGCTAACGTGATTAATCGCTCGCGCTCATGCTCACATTTGTTCAATAGAAGACACGAGAAGCTAGCTAGCAACTTAATAATTTAAGCTAATGGCGGCGGACTTCCCTGGATTACCACTTTATAGCACCCTTTGATATGCGGAGCGAGGTATGTGGTTCATTGTAATTGTATTTCATTATATTTCATGTAAATTCATTTCATATAATGACTGTTGCTTGCTGTGCTGTTATCCATGTATGCTAAAGTGCATTTGTCAAAGGATTATTTTGTATCTGGCTAAATTGCGTTTGTCATTTCCCTTTTTAGTTTTCATGGTGTTGGTGTTGGTGTTGGTGCTATGCACACTCATCTGAATTAAAGTACACCCGTCTGGAAACACTCCCAAGCCTGTTTATACAAAGTTGAAGGGATGCTACAGTCGCTGTGGTCGCTTTTTTAAATGACAGGTCACATGTGTTTCAGCAGCCTAAGACTCCAGCCGCCAGCCTCCTTTGTCTCCACATCTAAAGGGAGTTGGGCTGTGAGAAATGTAACACACAAAGGACATTTAGAAAGAAAAAATCCCCCTGCACAGTTAGTCCCTTTTTCCCTCAAAAGCCGGAACACGCTGCATTAACTGCTTTATCCATGTTCAGCTAAAGACCCACTAATCGGAGGCAAATACCCGTTTATATGATATAATATTACAATTTGGCCACTGCGGTTTCCAACATTTTGTGTACACTCTCTCTCTCTCCGAGGCGGCAGTAAATCCTGATGTGTCCACACAGGTAGCACTGCTGTGGCCCCCTGCCTGCGTCCCAGGTGTCCGACAGCAGACAGGGATGGCGCGACCAGGCGGGCCCGGGCCGTGTTGGACGGGGTCAGCCATCAGCAGGACAGACAGGCATGTGGCAGTGATCTCCCCGTGACAGGCTGTGTCAGAGCCACCGCGGGGCCACCAAACCGTCGCTTCCCCACCCCCCGTCATCCCACCTGACTGCTGACAGAGGGGACGCGCTGAATTCTCAAGTTGGCACCACCCGCCTTGCTTTACAGTGTGTCCATTGTGGCGTCTGAAATTCGGCACTGTATTCTCGGTAATGGCGCGGCGCCCGTGTTACGTGTTCAATTTGAATGTTCCTAAAAGGTGAATTCAGTTTGAATGCTTCGCCTGCTTGGAAATGTGCGACCCCAGGGCGGACATATTGAAGCAGACAAGTCCTACAAGAGGAGGAGATGCAAACCTGTCAAATGACATAATTGCCATTTTGTAACAAGGCCTGTCTCTACAGCTGGTGATTCTTTACCCTGATGGGAGTGTTTGCTTGAGTGTGTGTGTGCGTGTGTGTGTGTGTGTGTGTGTGTGTGTGTGTGTGCGTGTGTGTGAGAGAGTGTATTTACTCAAAAGCACTCTCTGCCCCTATTCTCTGTGACCCAGTCTGACAGGTGACATTCGGAGCAGTTCAGGAGATGTATGTGCCATTTGTGTCCATGGCAGGGTCAGAGCGTGTTACATGACCTGCAGGACGGAGAGATAGAGAAAAGATACTAATCTTACTCGGTGGAATCAATACGGCGCAGAGAGGGACTGATAATTGACCGCTGTCAATCAATCAGGGCCATGTTTGTGCAGCCATTAAACCTCTCTTTGAGAGAGGAGGAAACACAATAGGCACGGGGAAGATGGAGAATTAAAGCTTCTCAGAACTCATGATGTTATAATCTACAGCGGCAATACAGTTTTTTTGAGCCTTCAATTAAAGTGGAATTCTGCAATATTTCCAGACAAGAATCATGTTATCAATACAGCATTCAATTCAGTTATTATATTATATATAGTATTATATTCGATTCTATACATAAAACTGCCAAGCAGTTTATAAAGTCGTTGAGAACAGTTCAATTTGTTTTATTTAGTATAGCCCAAAATCGCAAATTACAAATATCAGCACAGAAAAAATCCCCCCAAAAAATCAATCCCACCTTTGCCAGAAAAAGAAAAGTACTCCTGGTTAATTTTTACCCATTAACGAGTTCACTTTTACTTGTGGTGGAAGTATATCCTGATGTTTATGTCTTTGTACATTAACGCTTAACATTTTTTTTGTGCATGCATTTTAAATCTAAAGGAGTATGTAATTCAATAAATTGAATTTTGTGGTGGAAGATTTTGCACAGACAATCGTTAAGTAAGAAACAAAGGCTCTTGTGGTGGAAATTTGTGGATTTAGCCCATGTGAGAAATCAAAAGTATCTTGAACTTGCTTTGTGAGTATAAAGTATTTATTACTAACTAGAATATAGGAAAAAGATAAAGAATACAGAAATCATCAGCACAAGTTGTAAGCACAGACAGAAGTCAAATGACTACAATTCAGCTGAAAAGGGACAGATGTTCCTTCCCCCAAAAGGAGCAGGAAGATCTGACAAAGTTGAAGAGGAGAACAGGAGCTTATATACACTTCAGGGAGGTTTGTGCTGCCTCAGGACAGGACAGCCCACCCCTCAAGAGGAGTGTTGGAAAAGTAGCAGATGATGTAGGGGTGACCCCGTGACCCTCCCTTTATGGACCCAGACAATCAACATCTAAAAGGTCAGTCAGGGCACGCATGATTTCATCTGTGTCTTATCTCACCCTGGACTTCCTTAAGTCACCGGCTCACATCAAAGGTCGCATTCCTGAGAGCCTCACCCCACGCAGGCTCAACAATTTTCCCCCAACAGCTCTGAGTCAAGTATGTCTTTTCTCCGTTTATTTCCTTGCACGGGAAAAAGGGTCACAACAGCTACGTGGTCAGTAGACTGTCAAGAACCTCCTTCCTGCCCCCAACACATCGAGGCAGTTCTTATACCTAAGTTCTAAGTTTAGATATCGGTGGCGTCAACAGAAACCTTGACCATCTTGTTGAGTATCTACAGCCAGGGTACTGGGAACATCTTATCCATGTAAGACACGTCAGTTCTTTGACCGTGTCCCTGCTCTCCCAACATGCTAAAACAAAGGTGGTCATAGACATAACAAACACTTTGTTCAATCTCTACAGCTATGACGCTGGAAACATCTAATCCAAGTGGGAGACGTCAGTTCTTATGTCAGGGCCTTTGTGACCTAAGCACTTGCAACTAATAAACTGGTTATACAAATGAAGCATTTAAAAGGGTCACATATCATTTTCCCATTACATTCCACTCTTTTGATTACATAATAATCACACACTATGCATCAATTTAGAATGCCTACTCTAAAAATTTACCATCTGATATTTACCACATCAAATATCACAAACATGAACATCTGGACATCGCTCACAAAACTTTGCCTGCCACAGAACAAAAACCCTCCGAAATGGGGGAAAATAGCAAGAAACAGTTAGGAGAAGAAAAAGACTAGAAACCTTCTCACATTATTTGAGCGTTACACCCCAGATGTCATGTGTACAGTATTGAAATAAAAAAGTTGAAAAGAAATGAAAACATGTTTAAATCACAATACCAGAACTTGATCCCCTATCACACAACACAGATATAGAATATTGTGGAAAGGTCATTATATCAATCATATTTACGTTACATACTAATAAATGCAGGGATAAAAGCTGTTTTTGTGAGAATGTTATTTCTCATTGTTTTAGCAAGCTACTGTGAAACAAAAAACATTTAGAACACCAGGAATGCACACAGACAGTGTGTCACTATGTCACTATGCGTATGTGTCGAGGTCGTAAGTGTTCAGCTCGTCAAGGGAGTCCGAGTCACTGTTGGGGTTATCGTCAGAGTTACGTCCAGGCAACAAGTTTGGTGGTGAGTCATTAGGTGACCCCAGGCTGTACATAGCTATTTGTTTCGCCAAGAGTTGGGCAATCGTATGACGGATCAATGGGATACCGCAAATTACGAATGCGAAGAGAACACAGAGGATAGTAGCTGCTTGTATTAGTGTTCCTTTCCATGAATACCACACCCGTGTGAACCAATCTGGGGAGGGAGATTTGTCTCTTGCCATAGATTCTTGAAGTTTTGTCATGTTTTGTATCGCCTGATGAATAATGCCTTCGTCTTTGTCATTTTCAGGGATAAACGTACAGCAATATACTCCTTTGATAGCACAAACACCTCCTTGGGCAGCGGTCAATTGGTCTAGTACCATGCGGTTCTGCATAATGTCCTACTTTGGCATGAGTAAAATATCAGATGACGTTGTCCAACATTTTACAGTAAAAGAACAATTATTAGCAAGCAGTATTGTTGCATTTGAAGAATGTGGAGCTAATTGTTAACATGAATGAGAGTTAGATGTATAACAATGTCATCACGTTTCACTGTCTCTGTGTTTAGAAAATCTCTTTCATGAACGTAGATTCTCAGCATCGGGTCGGAGACGTTGTGTAGGACAGAACCTCAGTCGAGAGCTTTTGTCTCTAATTATCTGCGAAAAGATGTTGCGCATACACTCTGCAATCATGAGGGCATCAGTTACATAAACAAGAGTTTTTCCATAAACATGAGAGTGATTGAACACTGTTCGTGCTATGATGTTTGTCTGTGTTAATGGGTGGTGCAGTGAGGTATTTCTGCACCACAGAGGTTACACACATGTGGAGCTGCACCAAAAAAGCCAATGCAAACACACACGGCGCACCAGAGGCGTAGACCACAAATGCATGTGATGAGAGGAGGTGACATCAGAATATGCAAAAAAGACTTTGCCGCAGGCCAGAGATTTTTAATGATGAATCCATTCATTATAGAATAAGGTCATTATGCTTTTGTTGTCATGAAATGTACACATTCATCATCAGTCCACCCAGGACCGAGTCCATTGTCCCTCTTCTCTGGACGACCTTGAATGAAAAATGTATAAAGCAAAAAAACAAAAAACAAACACACCCAGTGCTGTAGTGGTAAAATTAGATGTGGGTAAACTCTGAATTTTGTGATCATACAGACCTCGACGCGATGCGAAGCGTCGCGACTCTGTAAGGCTGTCCTGGCTATATTGCATTATGTTAAATGTTAAATTTAAGAAAACAGTAAAGAAAGGTATGTCAACACAACACAACAACACAATTGCAGATTAAGAACTATCTACATACGGAGTCTCCTTTTTACAGTAGTGCCCAGAGGGCCTCCTTATCCTGAAATATTGTCTGACATGAAACCGGTCCGTGAGGTAAGAAAGGTTGGGGACCACTGGGTTGATTCACAACGTGTATGTGTTTACACACCTCCTGGATCCTGATTGGTGTCGCTGCTGCAGCCGCAAGGCACTGATTGGATGCTCACAGACCGTAATACAGCGCAGATGAACATGATTCAGACTACGGCGTTTATATGTTCAACAATAGGAAACGTAGTCTTAGCTGTTTTAAAATTACACCAATTTTATTTCGGATTAT